ACCCCTCCTGCAACGATCCCAACCCCTCCTGCAGCGATCCAAACCCCTCCTGCAACGATCTAAATCCCTCCTGCAACGATCCCAACCCCTCCTGCAACAATCCAAACCCCTCCTGCAACGATCCAAACCCCTCCTGCAACGATCCAAACCCCCCCTCCTGCAACGATCCCAACCCCTCCTGCAACGGTCCAAACCCCTCCTGCAACGATCCAAACCCCCCCTCCTGCAACGATCCAAACCCCTCCTGCAACGATCCAAACCCCCCCTCCTGCAACGATCCCAACCCCTCCTGCAACGGTCCAAACCCCTCCTGCAACGATCCAAACCCCCCCTCCTGCAACGATCCCAACCCCTCCTGCAACGGTCCAAACCCCTCCTGCAACGATCCAAACCCCCCCTCCTGCAACGATCCAAACCCCTCCTGCAACGATCCAAACCCCCCCTCCTGCAACGATCCCAACCCCTCCTGCAACGGTCCAAACCCCTCCTGCAACGATCCAAACCCCCCCTCCTGCAACGATCCCAACCCCTCCTGCAACGGTCCAAACCCCCCCTCCTGCAACGATCCCAACCCCTCCTGCAACGGTCCAAACCCCTCCTGCAACGATCCAAACCCCCCCTCCTGCAACGGTCCAAACCCCTCCTGCAACGATCCAAACCCCCCCTCCTGCAACGATCCCAACCCCTCCTGCAACAATCCAAACCCCCCCTCCTGCAACGATCCCAACCCCTCCTGCAACGATCCAAACCCCTCCTGCAACGATCCCAACCCCTCCTGCAACAATCCAAACCCCCCCTTCTGCAACGGTCCAAACCCCTCCTGCAACGATCCCAACCCCTCCTGCAACGATCCCAACCCCTCCTGCAACAATCCAAACCCCCCCTCCTGCAACGATCCCAACCCCTCCTGCAACGGTCCAAACCCCTCCTGCAACGATCCAAACCCCCCCCTCCTGCAACGATCCCAACCCCTCCTGCAACGGTCCAAACCCCCCCTCCTGCAACGATCCCAACCCCTCCTGCAACGGTCCAAACCCCTCCTGCAACGGTCCAAACCCCTCCTGCAACGATCCCAACCCCTCCTGCAACGATCCCAACCCCTCCTGCAACAATCCAAACCCCCCCTCCTCCAACGATCCCAACCCCTCCTGCAACGATCCAAACCCCTCCTGCAACGATCCCAACCCCTCCTGCAACAATCCAAACCCCCCCTCCTGCAACGGTCCAAACCCCTCCTGCAACGATCCCAACCCCTCCTGCAACGATCCCAACCCCTCCTGCAACAATCCAAACCCCCCCTCCTGCAACGATCCCAACCCCTCCTGCAACGGTCCAAACCCCTCCTGCAACGATCCCAACCCCTCCTGCAACGATCCAAACCCCTCCTGCAACGATCTAAACCCCTCCTGCAACGATCCAAACCCCTCCTGCAACAATCCAAACCCCTCCTGCAACGATCCAAACCCCCCCTCCTGCAACGATCTAAATCCCTCCTGCAACGATCTAAATCCCTCCTGCAACGATCCCAACCCCTCCTGCAACGATCCAAACCCCTCCTGCAACGATCTAAATCCCTCCTGCAACGATCCCAACCCCTCCTACAACGATCCCAACCCCTCCTGCAGCGATCCAAACCCCTCCTGCAACGGTCCAAACCCCTCCTGCAACGATCCAAACCCCCCCTCCTGCAACGATCCCAACCCCTCCTGCAACGATCCCAACCCCTCCTGCAGCGATCCAAACCCCTCCTGCAACGATCCCAACCCCTCCTGCAACGATCCCAACCCCTCCTGCAGCGATCCAAACCCCTCCTGCAACGATCCAACAGACGGCTCGACACCTCACAATGGGGACGATAATCCAGCGGCCTGGAGCTAACGTCAGGGACACAGCCAGAGCAGGATGAAGCTATAGATGCAGAAAGAGTTTATGGAAACACTGTCTTCAGCACCGGACCTGTGCTGTTCCAGTCAGATACAAGGTCAGGATACAGGGTCAGGATACAGGGTCAGGATGCAGCTGTGGCGGTTTTACATCATTTCACTCTTGGTTCAAATGAAGTGGATTCTATTTGTGGCGATGGGAAAAGAACCAAACAGAACTCGCCCCAGTTTACTCACTTTGGGGATATTCAGACCAGAGTCAAACATCTGCAGGGATCAAACCAGACTGAATGTAATGAACTAATTATTGTCTATTTGGATGTAGTTTAGACCTGTTTTAGACCTGCTTTAGACCTGCTTTAGACCTGCTTTAGTCCTGCTTTTTTACTGCTATAGTCCTGCTTTAGACTTGCTTCAGACCTGTTTTAGACCTGCTTTAGACCTGCTTTAGTCCTGCTTTAGACTTGCTTCAGACCTGTTTTAGTCCTGCTTTAGACCTGATTTAGTCCTGCTTTAGTCCTGCTTTAGACCTGTTTTAGACCTGCTTTAGACCTGCTTTAGACCTGCTTTAGACTTGCTTTAGACCTGTTTTAGTCCTGCTTTAGACCTGATTTAGTCCTGCTTTAGTCCTGCTTTAGACCTGCCGTAGACCTGCCGTAGACCTGCTTTAGACCTGTTTTAGACCTGCTTTAGACCTGTTTTTGACCTGCTTTACACCTGCTTTAGACCTGTTTTAGACCTGCTTTAGACCTGCTTTAGATCTAATAAATAATTTTGTCAAAATACCTGCATAATGTCATTAAATAGACATGTGTTTTCATTGGTTCACACATGGTTTAAAGTCGGAACTGGTCCAGTCTCAGTCTCAGAGGAACACATGAGACGGACATTTTGTTTTTGTCACTGACACAGGTGTTTTAACTGCCACAGGTGTTTTTGTCACTGATACAGGTGCTTTTGTAACTGACACAGGTGTTTTTGTCACTGACACAGGTGCTTTTGTCACTGACACAGGTGTTTTTGTCACTGACACAGGTGCTTTTGTCACTGACACAGGTGCTTTTGTCACTGACACAGGTGCTTTTGTCACTGACACAGGTGTTTTTGTCACTGACACAGGTGTTGTTATAACTGACACAGGTGTTTTTGTCACTGACACAGGTGCTTTTGTCACTGACACAGGTGCTTGTGTCACTGACACAGGTGTTTTTGTCACTGACACAGGTGTTTTTGTAACTGACACAGTTGTTTTTGTAACTAACACAGGTGTTATAGCTGACACAGGTGTTATAACAGACACAGGTGTACTGACACAGGTGTTTTCACTGACACAGGTGTTTTCGTCACTGACACAGGTGCTTTTGTCACTGACACAGGTGTTTTTGTCACTGACAAAGGTGTTATAGCTGACACAGGTGTTATAACAGACACAGGTGTACTGACACAGGTGTTTTCACTGACACAGGTGTTTTCGTCACTGACACAGGTGTTTTCGTCACTGACACAGGTGCTTTTGTCACTGACACAGGTGTTATAACTGACACAGGTGTACTGACACAGGTGTTATAACAGATACAGGTGTACTGACACAGGTGTTTTCACTGACACAGGTGTTTTCGTCACTGACACAGGTGCTTTTGTCACTGACACAGGTGTTATAACAGATACAGGTGTACTGACACAGGTGTTATATCTGACACAGGTGTTATAACTGACACAGGTGTACCGACACAGCTGTGTGTGTGTGTCTGTGACTGCAGGCGAGGAGGCGCTCACCATGTACCTGGCCAAGAACAAGCTGGACCGCAGACTGGTGAACGCCACGCAGAATGTGGAGGCGCTGCACCAGCTGGCATCGTCCTACTTCATCGACCGCGACGGCACCATGAGGAAGCTGCACGAGATCCAGATCTCTACAGACGCCATCAAGGTGAGTGAGCGAGGAAGATGATGAAGAGGATGAAGATGATGACACAATTATCCAGGTTTTCAAAGGCAGGATGGAGCTACAACAACAAGTTAGAAAGTTTCTGATTCAACTCACCAATACAAGATACAAGAATGTATTTGCCATTTGCAGTAAAACCACATTGGAAAAACTGTGCAAGACTTCCCCGCTGTCTTTTTACCAGACAGAAAAGACGCCACACACCATCGCTCGTGCCACGGCGCCATTTTGTGGTAATCATGGCCATTGTATCATTTGTTATGAGGGTTAAAGTAGAGATATGTAAGATTTTCATGTCCAGTCATCATTAAAGGGCCCTAATCTGTCATCATTAAAGGGCCCTAATATGTCATCATTAAAGGGCCCTAATCTGTCTTCATTAAAGGGCCCTAATCTGTCTTCATTAAAGGGCCCTACTCTGTCATCATTAAAGGGCCCTAATCTGTCATTATTAAAGGGCCCTAATCTGTCTTCATTAAAGGGCCCTAATCTGTCTTCATTAAAGGGCCCTAATCTGTCTTCATTAAAGGGCCCTAATCTGTCTTCATTAAAGGGCCCTAATCTGTCTTCATTAAAGGGCCCTACTCTGTCATCATTAAAGGGCCCTAATCTGTCATTATTAAAGGGCCCTAATCTGTCTTCATTAAAGGGCCCTAATCTGTCTTCATTAAAGGGCCCTAATCTGTCTTCATTAAAGGGCCCTAATCTGTCTTCATTAAAGGGCCCTAATCTGTCTTCATTAAAGGGCCCTAATCTGTCATCATTAAAGGGCCCTAATCTGTCATCATTAAAGGGCCCTAATCTGTCTTCATTAAAGGGCCCTAATCTGTCATCATTAAAGGGCCCTAATCTGTCATCATTAAAGGGCCCTAATCTGTCATCATTAAAGGGCCCTAATCAGTCTTCATTAAAGGGCCCTAATCTGTCCACATTAAAGGGCCCTAATCTTTCATAATTAAAGGGCCCTAATCTGTCATAATAAAAAAACATGCTCTTTTCAAAATACTTCTTTAACTGATAACAGTAGTTCAGAAATGTCGATGTCCCGCTCTCCACCGTTTCACCAATCAGAAAGTCCATGCTCCGGGCGCCAGAACTCACCTGGAGCTAATCTCACTGGTAAAGTACCATGTGGCACAGAACTAAAAAAGGTCTCGTTATGATTCTCAAATCATTAACGACAAAACCAGAAAAAAAAGCAGGATTTCTATTGGGGCCTTTGTTAATATTAATGTTTGCTAGTCCCTGTTGACGTTAATGTTAGCTAGATCTTGCTGACGTTAATGTTAGCTAGTTCCCATTGATGTTTATGTTAGCTAGTTCTCGTTGATGTTAATGTTAGATAGTTCTCGTTGATGTTAATGTTAGGTAGTTCCTATTGACGTTAATGTTAGCTAGTTCCTGTTGACATTAGTTTTAGCTAGTTCCCTTCAATAACATATCCAAAGTTCCTGTTGTGACACAAACCTCTGGATCTTTGGGAAATCTATAGAATGCTGTTTTTGTCATTTCCATTTATTTTCAGACATCATGTTTTTGCTGTAAAGGATAGTGCGTCGCTATGGTAACCGTCTCTGGTTCAGTCCACTATGGTGAAAGCAGCATCTAGAGGCTGGCGGGAGTTGTTCCTCTTGTTGTCTTCACTCTTTGACCACTCCTTCTTACCTTAAACTTAACCTTAACCTAAGTCTGATCCTTTTATTTAAATGTATTTTACAAAACGTGCTTATTTCCCTCGGCTGAAGGATTTTCTGTTCAGACTCTGCACTTATTGACATTTCATGAATAATACTCAAACTTTCCAGTCTGTAAAATTGTAAAGTTTTAGTTTGTCACTACTTCAACTAAGATTAAGCAGAGTATTTTTTATTTTATTTCTACTAAGCGCTAAAGCTGGTGAATATAACTTAAAATGCAGCAACAACTGTGCGTTAACTGCTGTAAACAGTGTGTTGCTATGGTAACTAGCACTTGCTCCAGCCTGATATCCCTCTGAACCAGGACCAGCATCTTCAGAAAAGTTGCAGAAACAGTCAAAGTTATGAAGTCCAAAGGTGCACATGAGTAATTACACTAAAACAAAAGCCGTCAGATTGACTGCTGTTGTAGAAGTCATTAGTTTCTGCATTTCTTTCTTCCAGAGAAGCTGCTCTTCTACCTGTGGAACTTTAACCTTTTACAAACTCGCTGCTGACGCTCATTTCAAGCCCCAGTAATCTAAATAATTAGATTCTTTGATTAGGCCCGTCCGACAATCCCACGTTTCGCAGCTGAAGGCAGATTGTGGTTGTAAAAATAGGTTACCATAGCGACGGTAAATGTCAAATGTTATAATTGAACTAAGAAATAAATTTAATTTCTAATCTAACGTGATTCATTCCCAGACGAAGCTAATAAATTACTGGAATCTGGAAAAAAGTTTTTAGGGTCATTCTCCCACAGAGTCTGAGGCAGAAACGGCCAGAACTCATTTAGGAGAAATACTTTTGTTTTGTTTAGAGTCACAGTGCTACAATGACGTCATAGTATCACAGGACTAAGGCAGGAGGGGCGGAGCTAACTACTCCTCATTCAAATCAGTTACTTTTACTTTTGTATAGCCCTAAATCACAACCGTAGTTATCTCAGAGAAACTGAGGCTGTAGATCCAGGACTGAGGCTGTAGATCCAGGACTGAGACTGTAGATCCAGGACTGAGGCTGTAGATCCAGGACTGAGACTGTAGATCCAGGACTGAGGCTGTAGATCCAGGACTGAGGCTTTGGTCCAGGACTGAGGCTGTAGATCCAGGACTGAGGCTGTAGATCCAGGACTGAGGCTTTGGTCCAGGACTGAGGCTGTAGATCCAGGACTGAGGCTTTGGTCCAGGACTGAGGCTGTAGATCCAGGACTGAGGCTTTGGTCCAGGACTGAGGCTGTAGATCCAGGACTGAGGCTGTAGACCCAGGACTGAGGCTGTACACCCAGGACTGAGACTGTAGAGCCAGGACTCAATCTGTAGATCCAGGACTCAGGCTGTAGATCCAGGACTCAGGCTGTAGATCCTGGACTGAGACTGTTGATCCAGGAATGAGGCTGTAGATCCAGGACTGAGGCTTTGGTCCAGGACTGAGGCTGTAGATCCAGGACTGAGGCTGTAGACCCAGGACTGAGGCTGTAGATCCAGGACTGAGCCTGTAGATCCAGGACTGAGGCTGTAGACCCAGGACTGAGGCTGTAGACCCAGGACTGAGACTGTTGATCCAGGAATGAGGCTGTAGATCCAGGACTGAGGCTTTGGTCCAGGACTGAGGCTGTAGATCCAGGACTGAGGCTGTAGACCCAGGACTGAGGCTGTACACCCAGGACTGAGACTGTAGAGCCAGGACTCAATCTGTAGATCCAGGACTCAGGCTGTAGATCCAGGACTCAGGCTGTAGATCCTGGACTGAGACTGTTGATCCAGGAATGAGGCTGTAGATCCAGGACTGAGGCTTTGGTCCAGGACTGAGGCTGTAGATCCAGGACTGAGGCTGTAGACCCAGGACTGAGGCTGTAGATCCAGGACTGAGCCTGTAGATCCAGGACTGAGGCTGTAGATCCAGGACTGAGGCTGTAGATCCAGGACTGAGGCTGTAGACCCAGGACTGAGGCTGTAGACCCAGGACTGAGACTGTTGATCCAGGAATGATGCTGTAGATCCAGGACTGAGGCTTTGGTCCAGGATTGAGGCCGTAGATTCTGCAGTGACTGTGATTGACCTGTAGGTGCTGCTTCCTCAGACTTTCCCTGGACTTTTCTCTCAGTTTGATTACTCCGACCTCCGCCTCCAAACTTCCCGGGTGCTGACACGCACTGTTAGCTCCGCATACGGCCACAATCAGCAGCGCCCTCTCCCCGCTGCTCCCACAATACTCCACCGGCCTGTCTCCATTCAGCCGCACCTGCCCCGGCTTTTTGTTGTCCTGACTGACAAGTGGATTAAGGGCTCCTGGCAGATGAGACTTTAGGTAGCAGGAAGTCAAGCATGACAAAATTAAGCAGAGCTGACAGAGGCTGCTGAGTCAGTTCTTACCCAAGATGGTGGAGGGGGGAGGGGGTGGGGGCTTTGAGGGGAGAAGCCATATAGACACACACACACACACACACACACACACACACACACACACACACACACACACGCACACGCACACGCACACGCACACGCACACACACACTGCAGAGGCTTATTAAAGACCAGATGCATTAGCCTGACCATCCAGAACCACAGAATTTTACAATATTAATATTGCGTTTGATTGGACAGCTGAAGAGTCAATCAGAGGAAACAGGAAGTGTCTGCAGAAAAGTTATTTTTTTTGTGAACAGCAAACATTGCACATGCAGCATTAAGAATTTAAGTTAAAGCATTGGTCCTTTTTGAATTGTGAAGAGAGGTTATTGTTTGTTCCAGGCTAGCACTGGTTAGACAAGCCCACTCTCACCCGCACAACTTCCCTCCATCCATCCATTTTCTTCCCCTTAATCCATTTCTGGGTCGGGGGGGTGGCAGTCAGAGCTGCACCCAGTCCACAGAGCACCAGCCCCTCACTGATCCTCCTGCAGGTGCTGAGTCCACAGGAGCTGAGATCTTTCAGCGGGGGCTCCAGGCAAAGTGGGGTTAAGTGTCTTGCCCAAGGACACAACGACAGCAGACATCAGTGGGAGTCATGAAGTAGGTCTTATGGTGGGCTCGAACCCACGACCTTCAGGCCAATGCTCTACCAACTGAGCTACTGTCCAATCAGAAAGCCACATTGCTTCCTGATTGGACATAATTCTTTCATATAAATCCACGGTACACAGAGGCCTCTTGCCCTTGGCCTAACTCCAACAAGCACGGTGGCTGAGTGGTTAGCCCTCTTGCTTCTCAGCAAGAAGGTCCTGGGTTTGAATCTCAGTTAGAACAGGGCCTTTCTGAGTGAAGTTTGCATGTTCTCCCCATGTCTGCATAGGTTTTCTCCAGGTGCTCCGGTTCCCCTTACCACTAAAAACATGTACAATAGGACTGAATGTAACGAGTGAGTGAATGGAGGGTGTTTGGTCGGAGGCTTTGATGGTCCAGTGTGTTCGGCGTCTCGCTTCTGTCATCACCGTGTGGAGAGAATGGAACAATATCTGATTTCTGAACTTTGTAAAGTGCTTTGGGGGACCTTGGTCTGTAAATACTCTGTATAAATAAACATTACTTACTTACTGCTGTTCTGACAATACAGTAAATGTTGTTACTGTACGATACTTTTGCCACGGCCGCCATCTTGGATATTTGTAAAAATGTGTTGTTGCATCCGAAGTAAAAATATCTCCTTGTTGTTCCTTCAAAGTTGACCTTGGGTGAGACCAGGTTTGAAAAAGATAAACTTTATTGATCTCACAATGGAGACATATGCAGTGACATATAACACAATTTAAAGATGTTTTTACTGAGAATTTTATGCCACAAAGAATGACGGACAAAGAAGGAGAAAGTTGTCTTCATTTGGATACAGAGCCAGTGCCTGGTTCTCTGATCTGTGATTGGTCGCCTGCTGATCCTCCTCCACCTGATCACTAGTGTCAGAATGCAGCAGGGTCTGGTTTGGCTCCTGATGCATCTGTGTGAGCTGAGACCACAAACATGTGTCTGATGTGTAAATGTTTTTCTAATACTGAATGGTCTCTTTGCACAGTACGTCTCGACATGATCAAAGCAAATTTCAAGTGCCATTTTTTTGACATAATAAAAATGATGAAGGTGATGATGATGATGATGATGAAGGTGATGGTGATGATGGTGATGATGATGATGATGGTGATGATGATGATGGTGATGATGATGATGATGGTGATGAAGGTGATGGTGATGATGATGAAGGTGATGATGATGATGATGGTGATGATGATGATGGTGATGATGATGATGATGGTGATGGTGATGATGATGAAGGTGATGATGATGATGAAGGTGATGATGATGATGATGATGAAGGTGGTGATGATGATGAAGGTGATGATGATGAAGGTGATGATGATGATGAAGGTGATGATGGTGATGATGATGGTGATGATGATGGGGCTGGAGCTCTAAGGGGAAGAATATGGATGGATGGAATAATATTAAACCCAATCAGGGTAAGATGGCGAGAGAAATCCCTTCCCACCAATTTACCATGTGAGTTTGACCTGCCACATAATGACCTCATCATTTATGTGGCGACAGTAGCTCAGTTGGTAGAGCATTGGCCTTTGAGCCAGAAGGTCATGGGTTCGAGCCCACCTCAAGACTTTCTCCATCGACTCCGACTGTCTGCTGTCGTTGTGTCCTTGGCAAGACACTTAACCATGGGAACAGCAGCCACAGTGGGGCGGCTGTGGCTGTAAAGAGTCTGGTGTGTGTGTGAATGGTTGGTGGTGGTCGGAGGGGCCGATGGCACAGACTGGCTGCCTCGCTTCTGTCAGTGTGCCCCAGGGCAGCTGTGGCTACAGTAGTAGTTTATCACCACTGTGTTTGGAGAGAAAGAATAATGACATGTGAAGCGTCTTTGAGTGTCCAAAAAACTGTTATATAAAACTGATGCATTATTATTATTAACACCTGCGGGTGAAAGCCAGATCCAGTCAGACCTCTGAAGCCAAGCAGGGCAGTGCCTGCTTAGTACTGTGATGGGAGACCTCTGGGAGTCACTGTATAAAACCAAACTTAGAATTCCTTTAAGGCGCTGTAGGTATTATCCGATTGAAATTGCAGTACACCAGACATAGAGAGCGAAACTTTAAAATTCAAGAAGTTGAGGTGAAGTTATAGTCACGTCCGGGCTGTGATCAGAATGAGAAAGAAAAAGCAAAGTCCACAACAAAGAGCTGCTCTGTAAACGGGCGGAACAAGAGCCCAGCGTTTGGTATTGATTCGCTGTGGCTGCCTGACCTCTTCTGTAGAGCAAACTCCAGAATGGAAATTGCACAGAACCAAAGATAAATGGTTTCATACTTTTCTACTTTGAACATTTATTTCAGGGATTAAGGTCAAAGGAGTTGTTTTAATCTATATATAACAACATCGGTAAGATAAGCAATCCATCCCACTGCGGGGAAATGTCAGTGTTGCAGTGCACTTAGATGAATAGACACTGGACATTTAACCACGTTTATGGACATTGGTCTCTGTCTCTTTGATTCTCTGATCTGTTGTTGGTGAATCAACAGCTTTGTAAAGTCCTACTGTCGTGATTGAGGGCTATACAAAAATAGTAGGGCTGTCAAAATGATCACGTTAACGCACGTTAATTAATTTTTTGTATTAATCTCGTTAAAAAAATTAACGCAATTAACGCGTGCCCATGCATCCCATAATAACACTCAGAATGTCACGGACACGTGTGAGAGAGATGACAACAGAGCAGGTCTCTGGGAATCCAAGTTTTAAAATAATAAACGTGTTTCCTGTATGAACTCTGGACAGCGGTTCCTCAGCGGCTGTGGTCACGGCAAACGGCGCCGCGTAACGTGATCATATCCAAGACCACGCACGGAACTGTTCTCTGCTTGTAGTGTTCGTACGTGTCTTTGTTTAACCAGTGAACACAATAAATACAGAGCTGAAGCTGGACTACAGAGCCTCAGTCTCCTCCGTGTCTTCTCCCAAAGCGCACTCGCTAAATTAAAGCTGGGGTACCTAATTTTCCCTTCACTACCAGTTCATGACAGATTTAATGACGTTCTGCTTCAGACTGTTTTCAAATGTCCCTCATCTGAAACAAAACAATAGTTTGGTCTGAGTCTAAACATAAAGACAGAATGTTAATAATGTTAATGCCATTTTATGTGGATTTATTGTTATAATAAAATAATACAGTTCATATGTTCACTGTCTTTATCTTTCCATTCAATCAACCATTTACAGAAAAATATGGCATCATTTTGTCGATAGTTTGAAATGCAATTAATTACTATTAATTAATTTTTAAGCTGCAATTAACTTGATTCAATAAATTGATTGTTTGACAGCCCTAAAAATAGATAGAATTGAATCGACAGTGAGGAATAACAACCGAACAGGCAGTGGTAGTGATTGTAGCCATATTTAGTTTACTTGTTAGTACTGTCACTTCAGACCCTTGTCACTTTATAATCTCATACCTCTGGTCACTTATCGATAACCCTTCCATCCATCCATCTTCTTCCCATTAATCCATTTCTGGGTCGGGGGGGGGGGGTGGCAATCAGAGCTGCACCCAGTCCACAGAGCACCAGCCCCTCACTGATCCTCCTGCAGGTGCTAAGTCCACAGGTCCATCTCTTTTTTCGCGGGGGCTTCAGGAAAAGTGGGGTTAAGTGTCTTGCCCATGGACACAACGGCAGCAGTCATCAGTGGGAGTACTTTTAAAACTTGTTTGCACCATGAGCCAAAGCAAATTCCTAGTTTGTGACTTATTGTTACTTACATGAGCAATCCCAAGATTTCTGATTCTGATGGAATTCTGTAAGGCTGTCAACTTTTTGCATCTAGTACACTTATGGGGGACTGCACAGTTTGTAGTGAAATGGGTCAATTTGTGGAAAACAGTTGGGGGTATGTATATTTATTTAGTTTTATTTCAACACAGGCCTTACAGGAACACATGGGAGTTGTTTTGATGCGATCAGGGCTATAGTAGGAGCAGAGCTATCAGTTTTAGTAGAAATGTTATAGTCAAAAAGATTCACAATGGGTTTAGAAAGTTGTCCATGGTCTAAGACACGAGTACGAGAAATTATTTTAACCCTTATTGTAAATATATTAAAGATGCATGCTTAATTTGCTCTTTCCTTCATTTGTTTTAAATCTGACATAATCAAATGATTCAAATTGGGAGGTTGAAGGTTTGGTATAATTTACAGATTCACAGCTATATCTGCTCTCATGCAGATTCAACTCTGATTTAAGATTTAGGCGACAAAAGGGATCCAGATGAACACATTTCAGAGACATTCACACACATTGGTCTGGTTCACGTCACACTGAGACGTCCAGAATTCTGAAACTCGAACTCCCAGAGGTTTGGGCCACAACAATGATCCAGAGAGACACATGTATCAAATCAAGGGAATTCTGCAAAAAGCCCCAAAAAATTAAATTATTTTTTCAACAGTTTTATTAACACTAGCTCTCCCAGAATTCTGAAATTACTAGAATTCCCAGTTCCATCATGTTGACTGCTCCCATACCGACAGTTTGAAAAGCTATTGCTAACCACTGACATGTAAACAATCTGGTGCTATGCTAACCAGAACTTTCTCTGTTCCGCTTCAGTTGAGTCACCAGGAGCCATGCTGAGCTCTGATTGGCTGGCTGGCTCTGTGGGCGGGCCTCTGGCTGCAGATGTGGGAGGATCCAGGCAAGCTGACGCGGGTCATAATCCGTCCAGAACTAGTCTAGGACCTATAGAAAAAACCCTGACCCTTTAGTCAAATGAATGAAGCTAAAGGTAGAATTCCTCACATTTCAAAAACAAAATGGCAAAAATAATGACATGCAATGATTAAAAACAGAGCCACTGGTCCATAAGGGGCAGAGACCACTGTCCATAAATGTTTATAGATGGTCATAAAAGTCGCTAAATGTCCTGGATCATCAACACTGTCCTTAGAGCTTCCTGCGTCGGCTGAACCCAGAGCATTCGTGGTCTGTCTAGTGCGGGAAAATAACCATAAACAAAAACACAAAAGTTCAGAGATGGCCTTGATGTTTGGACGTCAATGACAAGCTGCTGCGTTCCTCCATCATCTGCAGTGGTTCAAAGCCAGCTTCCATTTGGCCCGTCGCCTCAGATCATGGCACTGTTTGCGGTGATGGATCGGCGCGTTCGCACAACTGCAACAAAATACACCAAACGTGCCATATTTCTCTTCCTGACAGGCGCCATGTGTTTCGTCAAGCTGCTGCCTTGAATCCAGTGAATTATGTATGTGTGCAAATGAGACACTGTACTTTCTGTATGCTCTGCCCGCTCAGACATATTGTAGTTTGTTCTTGCGGGCTGTTTAGCACAATAAACGCCATCTAACAAACTGAATCTAAAATAGCAAAGACAAATCCGACGTAGAATGGACGAAGACTGTTTTTATAATGCTGTTAATCGGCAAAGAACGACTCCAATCACAAAAGACCTCAAAATAATGAATTGAAAGAAGTGTGAGGAAGCTCAGGGAGGTAGTTATTGAGAGAGGGATCTGCTGCGACGGACTGCAGACCCAGGACTGAGGCTGTAGACCCAGGACTGAGGCTGTGTAGATCCAGGACTGAGGCTGTGGACCCAAGACTGAGGCTGCAGATCCAGGACTGAGGCTGTAGACCCAGGACTAAGGCTGTAGACCCAGGAGTAAGGCTGTAGACCCAGGATTGAGGCTGTAGACCCAGGACTGAGGCTGTAGATCCAGGACTAAGGCTGTAGATCCAGGACTGAGGCTGTAGATCCAGGACTGAGGCTGTAGATCCAGGACTGCGGCTGTAGATCCAGGACTGAGGTTGTGGACCCAGGACTAAGGCTGTAGACCCAGGAGTAAGGCTGTAGACCCAGGATTGAGGCTGTAGACACAGGACTGAGGCTGTAGACCCAGGACTGAGGCTGTAGATCCAGGACTGAGGCTGTGGATCCAGGACTGAGGCTGTAGACCCAGGACTGAGGCTGTAGACCCAGGACTGAGGCTGTAGACCCAAGACTGAAGCTGTAGACCCAGGACTGAAGCCTCCTGACAGGCACCATGTGTTTTTGCCTTGAATCCAGTGAATTACGTCTGTTTGCAAATGAGACCCTGTACTTTGTGTATAGTCTTCCGGCTCAGACATATCTCATTTGTTCTTGCGAGCTGTTTAGCACTATAAACGCCGTCTAACAAACTGAATCTAAAATAGCATCAACATAGCATCAAACGTGAAATGTACAAAGGCCCTGTTTTCTATCATCATACTCAGAGCAATATGTGATGCATGGTGTAGTTATGGCACCGCAGTAATGAGGTAGAGACACGGTGTGCGATCGCAGGGACAGTCGGCAGGACACGCAACAATCAATCTCTGCTGACTCCCGACATCTGCACAGACGCTAATGCCACTCGCTCTCATTAAAACGCTTTTATGTCTGTCCGTGAGAAATGCAAACAATGATTTGATTGTTATTGGCCTCCCACAGGTTG